GATTAAGAAGAAAACTTGAAAAATTATAACAATATTTCCTTACGGAAAGTCCAAGACAATTAATAATTCACATTTTTCAGTATTTTCTTCATCACTCCGAGGTTCCAGGAGTATGTCTGGGTCAAGTGCTTCAGTGGTTTAAATGAAAGATGAGGTTTGGGAACTGCAATTCTGCAACCAGAGCTGAATGACGCAGCTGCTGCCGACACAGCTGAGGGATTGCTGCTCATGAGGCTCAAAAAGAAATACTCTGCCTGCTACAGCAGTAAAGCTTACTAAACATACCATGTTAGACAAGGAGGAATGTTCTGCAGACATGCTTTATTATCTGGGAATTGGACTGTGATGAACCTTGTGAGTCCTTTCCAAATCAGAATATTCTATGATATTCTGTGATATTTTATGATACTTTACTAGGATTATTCTGTTTTAGTTATATCTGGATGCCTGGCCATAGTTTCTCTTCTGGTTGTAGGTGTAAATGTTTGGAATATTTACAAAAGTTCTAAGTAACAGCAAGCCAGTAGAATTGCATGGGATTTGGCACAGGTGCTTTTGGATATACCGTGTTCTTGTGCATTCAGGATAGAGAATTGCACACTCAAAAGTAAAAAATGACTCAGTAATAACATCAGAGGTGCAAGTGTCCTAAGTATTGCTGCTCCAGGTGACAGACACAAAGCCTGAGAGAGGACCAGAGAAGTTAAAGCTTTATCTCGGCTGCTTAGACAGGCATTCAGCCTTTCAGCATGGAGGCATTGAAGCTACTTCTCCCTGCTGGAGTCCAGGAGTCCTTAGAGTTTTGGTTCATAGGTTCACCACAGTTCATAGTTCATCACATAAGAAACAGGAATGATTATTTATTCTATTCAATGTCTGTTATCTTCTCCCTCATTAATTTTAAGACTGATTTCCTCCATTCATCCATTCTGTGCACATTATATCACATGGAATTTTTTTTCTTCTTCTTTTGTCTTATTTGCTAATATAAGGCAGAGGTGATGGTGTAATTATTTCTGTCAAGGTAATTATTTTAAAACTTAATTTCATAAGAAGCACTTATTAATTTTTTCAACTGCTGCAGATGAAATTAAAGATCTAATCTTTCCTGTACTCAGGAGGGAGAGGATGATTCTAATTTGCATAAGTTTACATTACAATAACAACAACAAAAAAGGACAAAAAAATGCAATTCAATGTAGATTAAGATTTGAAAAGCATTAATTTTTTTTCTTAGAAGGCTGAATTCAGCCTACTGTGGTATAGCATCATTCCCTCTCAAAGGTTACTCAGTTTAACACAAACTGTACATCAGAGTTGAGTCCTGGAAAGTGCCAGATGTCCTCTCTTTCTTCTTCACTCCCATTGCAAGAAGAGCTCAGCACCTGATGGACCTTGATCAAATAGTTTATAATTAAGGGCTTGGATCTCCACCTCACAAGTCATTTACTCATTTGCCTCCTTTGTATTGGTTATCTCTACTTGAAGCAGACATGAGGTTTATATGATATAGAAGAACAAATCTTGACCCATACCTAAAAGAAGGCACATGTTTTTATATTAGCCCCTGACTATGCCATCCCATAAGTCTTTTTCTGAACCCATATTACTTTTTGCATCTATGTCCACAACACCCTTATGCTCTTGATCAAAATAATAAAAAAAAGCCCCACGTGTAAGCCACACACAGGTGGTACCATAAATGACAGAGTTATAGTTTATTAATTTGACAGACTACTATCTAGACAAGGGCCCAAGTCTGTTCTGCAGTGCAAGCCTTTGTTAATAGCAGAACATCAATATGCACATGGCTTTACATGAAGAGTGTTTCAGTAACTGAGGAAAAAGGATGCAAAAGTCATCTGTGAGGATGCTGGTGGAGGCAGTCAGAAGGAAAAATACCATTTGTTTCTGCAGCTGTGAGGTTGCTCAGTCATCAGCACATTTTCATTCTCTGAAAACACAAAAATGATTGCTTTTAAATCTGAGTGCCTCTCTGACTCTTAAACAGAGTGTTCTGCACAAGCTGATGCTATGGATGATGTATGGATGTAGAATGACATGTGATTTGCATGTTTTTAATGTAACTGTGAATGGCAGGAGCAGTTAACAGAAATTAACTGCATGTGTTTTTAAATAGAGAGCTGAAACTTTGGGAAAGCTTTTGCAAAATACTCATATGCTTTACATGCAAAATTCTTTCTGAAATTTATTGACATTTTAATGATTTAAATAATTTCACTTAAAGGAGAATATTGTACAGCAGACTTAGAAACAAAAGCCATTTGTCACCATGCTAAAATTCATTAACTTGGTGGAGTGTTTCAATCAGGAAAACATCAAATTATTGTAATTAGCATTTCTGTGATGTAATCAGACAGGAAAAACCGAGCCTCTGGTTTGCCAATGTTTTTGCATTTTTATTCTCTTCTCCTAGTGGCTGAGACCCTCCAGCTCCTGTGAATGTCCACTGTGACTGAACCTCCCCCCAAATATGTTTTATGCAATAACTTAAAGTTACATAAAGTCAAAAGGATTGCCCAAAGTGCAACAATTCTCCACCAAAATATGTGAGTGGAGATCCACAGCCTCTTGCTGCTGACCACCTTGTGTTTGATGGGGCAGCAAAATGAGCCATGTGAAATACCTTTCCCCCTGCCCTGGTTTCTGCACAATTGCTCTGCTGTAAGCAGTGAAAGGGGGAGGTCATCTGAAAACCAGACCTTGTGGTGTGTGACTGTGGATTAGCAGTTTTCCTTGAGGTATTGTAAAGGAACTGAACCCTGCAGTGCAGGGCAGTGTGGTGGGGTCTGGACTCTCCTCATGCCCAGTGGCTCTGTAACAGAATCTCAGGGTAATGAAAAGACATTTTAAACCCATTCACTGCGAAAACATATGGGGTGATTTGCACCATGCAAAATATTTCAATTCAGTTAGCTCCAGATGAAAATTTGTGTGTACTATTAGAGTGTTGCTGAGAGCACGTGGTTTCTCTTGGTGGCAGGGGAACATCTTGCCTTTTGCTATGAACATATATTAGTTAAATGAGGAAGTTATTTCTTGCTTTCTTTTTCAGAGTAGGTTTTGCTGAGCCAAACCATCCTGAAAAGCTGAATAGTGCAAACCACAGCTGCTGTGGATGAAGCCAAAGCACTTCTTTTGTGAAGGAAGCATAGGAGGTTTTAGAAAAATGAGGGCTTCATGTAGCATTTTATTCATGATTATAGCTTGGAGAGAAGAGTAAATGGGGTGGTGCTGATGGTGAAAGGGGAGTAATGCAATTGCAGAATGTTAGCAGACAATTTGGAGACCTTTATTAAGGCTGTGGTATACCCTCCTTCTCAGGAGATAATGCACACACACACCACAGTCTTGATTAGCCTTGATGATATTTTATCTCCTTGGCACCATGCCTAAAGAGGAGCACTGGGAGGGGAGTTGGGATGTGCCTTAATCCCTCAGGAGCCATTTCTGGTTGAACAAGGTGCAGGTCCTGCCCCTCAGCACAGCTCAGCTGGGTGTGCTGTGCCCGTGCTCACCCACATGTTTCTGACCTCATCCAGCTGCCAGGGTGCTGGTGTGGGCTGGGCACTCAGCCTGCCTCCCCAAAGACCCCAGGGCAGAGGCAGGGAGAAGCAGAAGTTAACCCTGCACAGAAGAGTGTGATGTTCACCTTTTTAACATCCAGTCTCCAATGTTAAAATTGTGACATGGAGAAGTCCTCACCTGACATGCACCCAAGAACCCACAGACCACACCTCTCAAGCCTTCTCTCATGGAGGAGGATAAATAGATAAACACAGGTTTAAATTGCAGGAAAGGGATTTTACTGATCTTTGAAAACACCTCAGTGTTCTTGGAGCTGCATGTTTTGTCACACTTGCTAAGATCTCCAGCAGAGGAATGGGTAGGAGTAAGATTAGGGTATTCACAAGGCTCACAGCAGCTTCTGTCAAAATAAATGTTATTTTGTTAACAGAACAAGCTATAATGCCTATGTATTGTATAGAAGCATCACTATATTTTCCTGGCATATTGCAAGAGTTTTGGGAGTAGAAAAGAGTGTAATCATTTAATCACATGTGTGTGAGTTATGATGGATAGGTTTTGTTTTTAAAAAAAAAAAAGCCTAAGTGATTTTTGGATCTAAATTTACTTCTCTAATGACTTAAGTATTAGAATGATAGAATCATTAGGGTTGGAAAGTACCTCCAAAATCATCCAGTCCAACATTTGAGCAAACACCACATTGTCAACTAAGCCACGACACTCAGTGCCACATCCAATTGTTCCTTGAGCACATCTGGTAATTCCACCACCTCCCTGGGCAGTCCATTCTAATCCTTAACAACCCTTTCCGTGAGTAAATTCCTCCTGATTTCCTACCTGAACACCCCCTGGTGCTGATTGCTTGGGAGAAGAGGCCAATCCTCACCTTGCTAAAACCTCCTTTTAGGTGGTTGTAGAGAGTGATAAGGTCTCCCTTGAGCCTCCTCTTCCCCAGGCTAAACAAGCCCAGTTCCCTCAGCTGTTCCTCCTATGAATAATTCTCTAGATCCTAAAAAAAAGGTGAGGTTTCACTGAAAATCAGTGGTACATAGGCTTTAAAGTTACTTACATGCATTTAAAACTGTATTCAATGATTTGACAATAAGCAATTTATAGATAAATTATTAATTCTAAGTTAAACAGGATTTCAGGATAATTTTAAGATTATTCTAAAGTGTCTGTAAAACTAATAAGATAGATAAGTTTATAATTGTACCTATAATTTTCTTAATATATTTACATGATTATGAACTTTTGGACACCTGTTTTAGGTTGTTTCCAGTGTTAATAAAACGTTAGATATGATCTGTGTGCTGTCAGAATGACCACTCACCATGAACACTTATGTGTATGTACACACCATTCCATATCACTGACTGATTCCATTTATACTGTTGTGTAAAAAAGCTTCTTTACTTTCTAGAAATGGAATCTGTTCTCATTCTTCACAGGAATGACTGCTTCCCCCTCCTAAAAAAATGGTGGGGGTGGTAACCCAGAGCTTGCTTGGGGTGTGGATATCTGTTAAAGGCATTCCTATAAATCAGGTATGTAAAATATTTTTCACAGCCCTGGTTAATGCTTTAATCATGGGGTCTTTCTCCAGATCTTGTTCAAGCAACAGGAGCACAATTTTGGTCAGCTCCCTGATAATCAGCTCAGGTTGCTGATTTCCCAGGTTTGGACCCTACTCGTTGTTTTACCCTGTGCAGAAATTACCTGGGGAGCAATGCAGAACTTTTCTGCAGAAAACAGAGAAGTTTTGTCCTTACTTCTATAGCACTGTTGTATTTTTCCTCCCCCTACCTTCACCTCATTTGGGAACAGTTACCCAAGTCCAAAAGGGGATTTAACAGATGTAGCTGTAGTAGCAGGGGCCTTGTGGCCAACATTTAGATGCTGCTCTTGCATTTGTGCTGTGACTGCAGACCAGTCAAGGCACAGCCAGTGTGATTGTTAAACCAGGTCTGCTTTGCTTGTGCAGCCCAATTTCATGTAAAAGCAAATGTTCTTTTTTGTTGGAACCCTGGATGCTGAGAATTTTAGACTTTCTGTGTTGTCAGACACTAACCCCCAGGAGAACACTGCATTTGACCTGAGGCCATGGAAAAGGCTTACAAAATTGAATGATGGAACTGGGATTATGGGCATGTAGTTTGAATAGAAGTGTGTAATACAACATGGTGGAAAACTTAAGAGTTTAAGGTTTTAGAATATAGTAATATATATGAGGCAAGATGGAGGTTTTAGAGTGGAGGTTGGTTCTTCTTCTTTAACTTCTTTTTCACCTTCTTCTTATGGGTTTGGGTGGTATTGTGTAATTGGATAAAAAGTCTGCATTGGGGGCACGGGTGGTTGGTTATTGTGTTAAAAGTAAAAAATAATTTAGGTGTCATTTCTCAATTGGACAGCTTATCCATAACAGACCTTGTAGAGAGAGAGAGATACATCTCCATTTTTTTCTTGTTAGAGTACTGTACAACTCACAGCCTTTGAGACTGTAATATAAGAACTAATAAACATCTGATTCCGAACAAGAAATACCCTCTGGTGATTTAATCCTAACCTTGGCAGAAAAGAAGCAAAGAATACATTACGTTTCCACTTACAAAAAGTCATTCTAGAATGTACTTCCAGGACTAAAAGATTGCATGCACTGTTTAGTTACCCAAACCAATGGATAAGCTGCTTCTTAGACTGAAGGAAAACCTTTCTCCTGCTTGATTTTGAGCAAGGAACTGATTTCAGATCTGTCTCTTATGGAAATGTGCCAACCACAAAACTCCTGAGTATGCTGCAATGAGCCTCAGTCTCTTCTGCAGCAGCCCCACACACTGCAACAGGGATGTGAACACAAATCTGACTCTTCCAAGGTGAGTGCGTCAGGCTTTTGAGCGGATCATTTTCATCCTTGAAATATTTCATGGCAACAGGGGAAGAGATGCTCTAATTTATAAAAGACGAGGGGATATTTAATATGAAATATGAAATATTTGTCTTGTCTTTAATAGCTTCTGGATTAAAATGAGAAGAATTAATATTACAGTATTTGAATATTCCAATAATAGCTCTGTATGTTCTGAACTATTGACCACTTCCATGGAATATTGAAAAGATAATATTTTGTAGACAACAAAGTAGAATTAAAAATGTAATTCTAAATTACATTGTGGGTTTCTAAGTTAGAGGAAGCCAAACTCAATGGCTTTTCAGATGTTTACTTTGTTAATAAGCAGAAAAGGCTTCTAAATGTTTTTCATACCAACTGAAGCATTCAGAGTTCAGCAAGTCCAATGACCACAGGGAGTTATGCTTGTGAACATCTCTTGCATACAAATTAATGACTGCTGAGGAAATTTGACAGTAGTTAATATTTCAGTGGTGTTTTATAAATTTTGTTAGCATTCTGAGAGGAATTAGAAATACAATTAATTTAGCTGTTCTGCTGAAGGGTTAGTTAATCAAAATTAAGTGATGTGAGAGCTGCCCAGCTCTGAAGCCATGCAGCCATTCTCATTAGAGCTTGTTTCTTCCCTCCATCAAGGTGGTTCTGTCTGATGTCTGGCTATCATTTTGGAGATCTATCTGGAAAGCTGGCTTGCAAACATTTTATTTTGACAGCACGTCAACCATTCTTAGGAAGATTTCTCAAAAAACCTTCTTCCACAGAGTTCTAAATAGGTTTAAACTGCTGGATAGAAATTCAAAGGTGGGGAAGAGTGGGAAGGAATAGCTTTAAAAGCGATTGGCAACTGGCAATACTGGAGTGATCGAGTCTGGTTTTGCTGTACAAAACCTGAGATCTTTCTTGTGTACTAATAAATAATTTTTAGCCTATTTATGATGTAAATGAAGGTAAGCTCAAGAGATAAAGTCTTGTCATAAAGTGTGTATGCTTTTATTGTGGTAGAATTCAGGAGCTAGAAACTCTGATAGTTACAGACATAGAAGCTTTTGAAGCCCTTACTGCAAATTATAAACTTCAGTATAACTAACATAGATGATAATGCAGATAAAAATATCTTTATATGAGATAAAGAAAATCAGGAAACCAAAACATATGGAACTATATTGTTAGAGAAGAATCATTGAGGGAAATGTAAGCTTGAGTTTGAGATTACTGAATCACTGTACTTCAGTCCCTGAAAAAAAAACCAACAGGAAGGAGAAACAAATATGTCTAAAACTATGAGTAAATAGCCTGCTCAAGTAGGAAAAGATTATGTGATCTCAGCAAATATCTTGCCAAAAGTGGTGGCACCAAACCCTTAAAATCAAGGCTTGCAAATAGCATCTTGTTGGAACTCAAAGAGGAGATCAAAAGGGAAACAAACTGAAGAGCATGAGCCTGGAGATGAACAAATATAACCAGATGTGGATTTTGGTGTTGAATGACCTACAAAAAGCCTGCTGGAAAATGGTACCCCCATTAGAGGAAGTGCCATCAGTCATATGAAATGGTTTCTTCACAACAGCCTTTTTTTACCAAAGAGATTGATGATATCCATTCTGCTAGTTGCAGACACAGACTAAAGTCTGCTGGTGAAGAACAGAGGCCATGAGGCAAATATATACATATATACATATTTTTATTCTCCTCTTCATCAAGAATAGATGCTGGATTTTCTATACGGATAGTACCTTTTCCTCATGGAAGTGACAGCTTTATTGTCTAGTATAAAGTGAAAGTGTTTTGAATTTTTGCATTATGCCAGATATGAATCAGCCAATTTTGTGCTTCAAGAAAACCTTGCTTGATATTCACAGCAAATGTTTTAGTACCCAAGTCTTGTATAGTTCTGCTTCCTAAGTTTGGAAAAATCCAATATGCCTGTGTTCCCTTGGCCTCTTGAAAGCACATAAACTTTCCTCATGAGTCTGTTTCTTACTCATGCCAGCAGGTTCATTATACAGTGGAATGAGATCTGTAAGGAGGTTATTGAATTTCACCCTGGCTATTCCAAGCTGCACTCATATGAGGCAGAAGAGTTGAGAGAATATGTAGGTTTGACAATTTCCTTTGTCTTGCAGCTGTGAGACTTTGCCACAGATCGTGCCTGTTGGATGTGCTTGGAGTGTGCTTCCTGCCCTGCCACTTACCGCGATGCTCAATTCACTCTGAACTCCAGGACCTCCTCTGGGTGCTCTTGTACAAGAGCTAGAGCTTCTGTATGTGAAGGACATCTTGGATTTCTAAAAGTGTAACCCTAAGGCAGACAAAAAGACAGAGAAAATGGGACTTCTAATGCAAGAGGTAGAATGAGGAATACTCAGTACCTCTCTGTACTTGTTTCATACAGGAGATCCCATAAAGAAGATAATGCCATATGACAGTTTCACTACACTGAACCTCCTTTTTTTGCCTGAAAAACTATTTTTGTTAGAAATTTAACTGGAAAGTGGATTTATGACTTCTCTTTGGTATCTTAATTTCCTTGCATTAATTGGAAGCTGCTGTTTGGAATTATTTGTGTTGATGTATTTCTTGTCTTTATTGCAGATGCTCTGTGCTTATCTTGCATGAAGAGTGGGCAATTTTTCTTGTACTTTTTCTGAATTCCTTTAGTGAAAATACTAGAAATTTTGATAGTACTTAGGGCCTGGAATAAATTCCATAAAAATCAGGTCTTTGGTTTTATATTACTGCTGAATTTTTGGATTCTATACTTTTTCAGAAAACTTGGAAATGACCCACCCCCCAAGAAACTTCAAACCCCCCCCCCCCTTCTACTAATTTATTATCCATGAGTAAATGGCTTCTGATTTCAGTGTCATGAGGGAACAAACTCTAGCAGGCTCAAGAGAAGTGGCACAGTGAACTTGCATCCAGATGTGATCAGTGATTTTCTCTTGTAGCTGATGACCCTCTCTTGTAGCTGATGATCCTTTCTTTTTCCCTCTATGAAAAGACTAAATCAAAAGAGGGTAACAAGGAATTCAGAGGCTATTTGAAATGTTCTTTCCACATTTTTCTTCTTCTTGTTCATGACTTCTACATCCTGAATTGTTTTTAAAGGTACCCTCAGCTGTTTGTCCCCTGAATCACGCAGGCACCAGTGGGAAAATGCAAGAGTCTGTTACATACTTTAAGGTATGATGTGGGAAAAGGTTGCAGCTTTTTAAATGGTTGCTGTTTCAGAGCAGTAAGGGAAATATAATTTTAAATTTCTCAGGCATTTATAGATTCATAAAACTTCTTGCAAGCTATGCCTAAAATTTAATTATTCACAAGATGATTTTTGTCACACTAGAATACTTAAGGTAGAGGAATGTAATACAAAGTCATCTGTGTGAAAATGCTTTGCCACATGCCTCGTATTTATAGTGCTTTTAAATACAAAATAAATATTGCTATTTAAAATGGGATTGTTTTATCAAAACTTAATGTTTTGGCTGTGATTTTCTTTGGCCTGGGATTTGCTCTGGGCAGCCATTTCAAGCAGAAGAGCTATATGCAACTTTTCAGGTTATTTTCTATTGAGTTTGCAGTAAACTGGAGCCTGCTGCAAAATCCTCTAGGGAAGAGCAGCACAGTGTTTTTGTTTTAAGCCTTCCCTCTATTTTATAATCTAATATTCACCTACTATAATTATTTCTGCTCTACTGGCTCAGAGCAAAGGCACCAAGTTAATGTTATTGCAACTTTTGGGGTTTGCTGGGCACCAGATGGATTAGCTGTGCGGGGAGAAAAAATTGCAGAGACATTTTGCATGGCTTCACAAAGAACATGCATGTTTAGCCTGCAATCCTAATGGTGCAAATGATAGCATTTGGCTTGCTCAATTTTCCAAGTCTGTTTACAGCTAGGATTCTGCCTCAGAGCAGCTGCCTTGTGGTTGCCACTTGACACCATGCTGACATCAGGTGTTTTCCTTTTTGAACATTCTCTAACTTTTCCAGCCTGAGAAGTAAGCAGCCTGCCAATCAGACTTTGATGGTATCAAAGAGAACATTGTAGAAAACTTGATTGCTTGCTCTTTATTGTCCACCCTCATCCTTTCCCCCAGAATTTTCTATTTTTGGTAGAATAACACCTTTTATTTGACCTTATATGAAGTGCTTTGTTTTGCTGGCCTTGCTCTTTGTGCTGGTTCTTGAGATCTCCTTTTGTGGTACAGAATTCTTCATCAAGCAGACATTCCAAAGAGTCAAAATATTTTTCTCAGAGTATGCAATTGCATCCTGAGATATCCAGAACTTGGTGAAATATTCAAGACTGTGTGTGAGCTGTTATTCTGTACTGTTAAAATCTTTCCTGAAGGGATTGTGCTTACAAAGTGTGTCATGGCCAAGGAAAATCTCCAAAATGTGAGTGACCCAGGTGGTGAGAGCCAAGCACCAGAGTGTAAGTGTTTAACTAAGAAGCTCTGAGGATATTCTTGTTTCTGAAAAACAAACATAATATTGGAACTAACACGACTTGATCCCACTCCTAGCACTGATAGCTCAGTTTCCTGAAACCTCTAAGTGTTCTTTACTATGAAATGAAAAATGCTTTCTTAGAGCATCATGAATTAACATACTCCTGCATTTCTCAGTTTATTCTTCCTTCAGAAAGTTGATCAAACATTAATTTCACTACAATAAATAAAGCAGCCACTGTGGTATTGAAAATAATATTTTCAGTTGCCTTTAAGTGTGAAACTGGAAAATGAATGAGCCCAGAACAAGTTTATCTTTTGCAAAGCTAAAACACTGATAAATTTCCAAAGGACTAACAAACTATAAAGATTTTTTTGAAGGAGAAGAGATCTAATTTCTGCATTTTAATGGGTAACACTTCCATGCATCCTTGGTTTGTTCAGTTTCATTTTGCATCTACTTCTGCCATGCTG